TTGCCCCGCGCAGCCTAAGGCGCGAGAGGCGCGCAAAACTCTGCAGCCAATCAAAGAGAAGAATCAGTTCCGCGCCTCGGGCGCCTCCGGCTACCCCCCTCGCCTGCCCCCAGCGCGAGGGCGTCAGTAAGGCCCATCCGCTCGCGCCCAACGGCCACCCGCAGCCGTCCCAACCACTCTGGGCGGTAGGAGGGGAGAGAGATAGAGAGGAGATCGAGCCTGCACCGTGCGGAGGTGTTTATGTGGGGGACGAATTGCACAAGCCGCCGAGAAGAATGATCCAACCGCGGGGGAGGGGAAAAGAGCTGCCTCGGGTGGGGTGGGTGTTAGTGTTGGGGAGGGAAGGGGGCATTAAAATGGCTTCGACACCCCCCCTGCTCCAGTGAGGTGCTGGGGCCCGGACTATACCAAGCGGGGAGGGGGGGAGAGGCGCAGACGGGGGCAGCCCTTTCTCCCCCGGTCCGGGGCGGATGGGGTATCCCGATCAGGGCGGGGAGGGGGGAGCGGACTGTACCTCTCCGGCAGGGAGGGGGGAATGGCAGCGCCCTAACCCTTATCCCCCACCCGCGGGAGCGAACGGTTTGTCCCGGTCCCGGCGCCATCTTGGGTGCGACTAAAACAACAACCCCCAAAACCCTTGCCGGAGCCCTGCGGGAGCCCCGGCACGCGCTCCCTACTCGGGCCGTCCCATCGCATTACCTGAGGGGGTTCAGTGGCGGTGTCGTGTCCGGACCGTCTCCCAGGGCCCGCCGCAAACCAAACCCGCCCACCTGTCCTCACCTCACAATGGTAGCTGCAGAGCGGGAGGGGGGGAGAGGTTGCCCAGACTTATTACCATAATCTGCCTAGCAACCGCAGCCGGGGCCGCGAGCTGATTGGTACGCCGCCACGCTTATATTAAGGGATGGCGCCGAAAACATCTCTGGGATGACTGCGCAGGCAACATAATAAAATGGAAAATTCAGGGAGGGGGCTTCAAATCTGTGGGGAGAGAGACCCCACACACTCTATATGCCTTTGGGCCAGCAGAACTCGGGGACCTCGGTCTGCCAATCACGGCAAAGCTCTCATCCTGCCGCATCGTTGTAAGGGGACCGCCCACCAATCGCGAACATCGTCTTAATTCGAGCGTTTCTAGCAGGGCGGTAAACATGACACGTGCTAGCGCCCCCTGTAGGAAAAAGGGAGCGCGTTTAGCAGCGCCCCCTGCAGGTGGGGTGGCGAAAAGAGGGTTATGGCTGCTTGCAGGGGGTGGGAAGCGACACCTGCTGGAGAGGAAATAAGAAAACCTTCGTTGCTTCCCGATTGATGATTCCCATTGGGATCTAACCTGGATGACATTAAAAGAGGATTAGGTGCATTAAGGGAGGAGAGGGCTATCGGCGGCTACTAGCCATGATGGCAGGGTTTTACAGAGGCATCTCGTTGGCCGCTGTGAAAACAAGGATGCTGGTCTAGCGGGGCTATAGGCCTGTTGCTATGGCCTTACCTCTTCTATTTGAAAGGCTCTCACACCCAAGTCCTATGCAAACCTATAAAACCTTGAGAAGGGAGAGCAGCAGGGGCTCTGAAGGTGCACATCAATAAATAGCACATGGGCAGCAGTCCGAGCAGATACACAGGTCACTTGTTCAGAGTCTTGTTCCGCACAGAGACGTTGTCCTATTTAAATTACAACATTTCTAAATTTGCATGTTTTAGCTCATGTAGACCAATTTCCTCTTTTGGTTGTGCCTTTTCTCAGCAATGCCTAAGTGGCCACCCTAATAAGGGGGAGTAGTCTCATCCCCCTCCCCATGTGATATTTAGGAGCACCTATACCTGTTGGCAGCGCACTAGTCCTGCCCACTGACTAATGTTCTAAGTAACTGAATGAGCTCACGTACTCAGTACGCTTGTCAGAGGCACATAGCCTAGGACTGCAACTCCCACCAGCCCCAGCCAGCATGTCCAGTTGTCAGGGATTACCGGTATATCTGAAGGGTGCCACACTGGCAATCCCAAAGAGAACCTGCAACTAATGCTTTAAAAAAGGGAAAGGAAATTTCTTCCTTTGCAAGTAACAATTGAAGAGCAGGCCTTTAAATGTTGCTGTGAATCTTGGGACTCCAGTTGTGAGGGGAATAGTTCTGTGTGTATGCGCGTGCGCTAAAACAGCACTTTGCACATCTCTGGTTTTGCTCAGAACTGAAAGCAGAGGCTGCTCCTTTGCCCATCCTTCTCTGCTGCAAGCAGTATCATCAGGATTCAGGAAAGCAATACCCCCAGGCCACCACATTCGTGTGAATACTTATCTCTGGTTTAGCAGAGCTATGAGTTACGTAGGCTGTCACAGATGTTGCTGCTATCATGCAGAAAAATTTGAGGGTTGCGTTAATCAATCTGGCATAACTGCTTCCCCTTGGTCCAGACCATCTTCAAGGGTAGCTCCATATAATGTGCATTAGAGAAAACTGGGAGGTTGACAGGGCATGGATTACTGTGGCTGGGCTATTCTGGTCCAGGAGTAGCTAGTGAACCAGCTAGAGCTGGAGGTAAGTACTCCTAGCCACTTGAACTTCTAATGACAACACTGGATTCAGGATTACCACCAAGCTATGCACCTCCTGCTTCAAGGCCATTGCAACCCTATCACAAAGAGGTGGCCCACCCTCAATTCCCAAACAGAAGACACACCCACCTTTCCACCTCATCAGCATTCAGTCTCTGTTGGTTCTGCTAAAAATCAACCACCTTTGGCATGTCTGCCGAAGCCCAGCTGAGATGGGTTAAGCTAATGTTTCCTCCATGCACATCTCAAGTTGGACAACCACCACCCTCTCGAGAGCATTGCACCTGAAAGGAATATTTGTGAAACGGGTGGTAGCTGTCACACTCTGGATCTGGGAAGGGCTTCTTAAGAAACGGCTGCATCACCCCATCCATGACAACCTGTACCACATATTTCTCCCCCAAAGAAGCATAAGCCATTCCCCACATCCACTCAGCTTCTTCCCGCTAACATAGAATTCAGTGCTCTAATGCAGAATAAAGGAAGTCACATATGGAGAGGAATTTGGGCTGTTGGGAGTTCCATTATCCCTCTCCTGTTTGCACTGGGAACCGTTGTATTTCTGACAGCAGCCAGGAACATCCATCTATGCTTGCAAAATGTAAGCTGAATTTACCAGCATTTAATAACGCATTTCTGTCTTTGGTATCAGATGATATGTGTGTCAGTGATTTCTTGGGTCTACCACCTGCTCACATGCTTTTATCAATTAGAGAGCACTAAGCAGAAAACAAACACCTTGGCAAGGATACGGATTTGATATTAAAACCCGCTTCTTTTTCTGTACTGGGAATTGTATATAATGAAACCCCAGCATGAGTTCTAGCAGAATCCTGGCCTTGAATTTGTAAGTGGAGTGGGTGGGTGGGGTAAATATTTCCTGAAAGAAATGGTATGTCTGATCCTGTAGGTCCTTAAATGAATAATTGCACAATGAAAAATTTAACTTTACTGGGACTATTCATGTACGTAATGGCTATTTGTATGAAGGAAGTTCTGGAGTTTGAGCATTAAAATTGTATAATCCATCATCGGTTTGTCATTTTCCTTCGGTGACGTTCAGTCTTGTTTCTTAACATTTGAAACAAAAAACATATTTAACTCTGCCAGAACCATCTCGCTTGCTGCACTTGCCCTCTGGGTTCAGTTAAGCACACTGCATCACTGTTACAACCAAAGTGGAGATGGGGCACTCTAAGGTCACATGTTGCACACCAGATGAAACGCTTGTCTGTTTAGCCCAATATTGTCTACCCTTGACTAGCCAAGGCTTTCTGGTGTCATAAGCAAACGACTTTCTATTTGATCATCTTATAGACAACAGGGAACAAACTAAATCAGACCCAACTTCCATCTAGCCCAGTATTCTGTTTCCTACAGTGACTGACTAGATGTTTTGAGGAAGCCTGACTTAAGACAGTTGCCTTTTCCTGCTGTTGCTGCCAAGTGACTGATGTTCACTGGCATAAGGTAAAGGGACCCCTGACCATTAGGTCCAGTCATGACCGACTCTGGGGTTGCGGCGCTCATCTCGCTTTACTGGCCGAGGGAGCCGGCGTACAGCTTCTGGGTCATGTGGCCAGCATGACTAAGCCACTTCTGGCAAACCAGAGCAGCGCACGGAAACGCCGTTTACCTTCCCGCCGCAGCGGTACCTATTTATCTACTTGCACTGGCATGCTTTCGAACTGCTAGGTTGGCAGGAGCTGGGACCGAGCAACGGGAGCTCATCCCATCGCGGGGATTCGAACCGATGACCTTCTGATTGGCAAGCCCTAGGCTCTGTGGTTTAACCCACAGCGCCACCCGCATCCCCTGTTCCCTGGCATACTGACTCCAAAACTTGTTTCCATTAAGACCATGAGTTTTGATCAGACCTGTATCTGGCCAACGGCCCATTCAACCAGAATGCTGTTCCTACAGTGCCCAACCAGCTGCCTATGGGCAGCAAGCAATCGAAACATGTTTCACTTGTGTTCCACAGCAACCAATGTTTGGAGACATGCCGCCTTTGATGCTGGAGCTGGTGCACAGCCATCATGACCAGTAGCCACCAATAGCCCTATCCCTCCATGAATTTGTATACTCCCCTTTGAAAGCCAACCCAATTGTTGGCCAACACTAAAACTTGTGGTAGCAAATTCTGTAGTGTAGCTCTGTACTGCCTGAAAAAAAAGTGTTTCTTTTTATCTGTCTTGGGTCACCCCCAGCTTCTAGTATTTTATTTATTTAGATTTAGATTTATGTACGGCCCTTCATCACAAGATCTCAGGGCGGTTCACAAGTTGAAAATACAAGGTTGAAACACCAGTAAATAGTTCAAAACAACAAAACAATACCCCCCAAACCTATTTAAAAGGCTGTTGAATATTAAATCAGCCTTACAAAACAAGACAAAAATTGAAATACAAATTCAAAATACAAATTAGCATAACACCTAAGAACAATTTACAACAACCCCGCCCCAAATAGACAACTCCCCCCAAATTTTTTTAATAATGTGGGAATGTTTACGAAGGTAGGAGAGGATATATTGATTAAATATGATCCCTCCTCACTCAGCGCATGAGCAAACAGCAGAGCACATTCCCTTGCAGCTTGTAGGAAGCTGCTGATGGTTTCAGTCTTTTAATTAAGCAATCCAGGATGCCTTTGTGCAGACTGGGATTCTTCCTGGCGATTTCCCCTTTATTTCCCCTCTTACTCAGTTCACAGCAGTAATCTGAAGGCAGGCTTCATCTTGTGGCTACAGTTACATTTGTAAGGTAAAACATTGAGAGAAAACAAGTCTGAGCCAAATCTCAGACTCGCAAGACATGTGGCTTGCCTCCTCTGTAATGGATGAGCCCAGGGGTTGGCGAAGAGCCAGGAGCTGTAGCGTTCAAGTCCAAAAAGAGAAAATTGAGGAAAAGGGATAAATAGTATGAGATCTATCCACTTTCTCTGAACCATGCATAATTTGATACTCCTCTGTTATGCCCCCCCCTTTTGCCTTTTTTCTAAATTAAAAAAGCACCCGTGTTGTAGCCTTTCCTGCCTTAATAATTAAACTGTTATAGCTTCATCTCCTTCATGCCATCTCAGCTGTAGTTATCACTGCACCAGTTATAATTTAGAGTTTAGACAGCGACACAAGAGGGTGCCTTATACCAGGAAACATGGCGCAATATCCAACCAAGCAGCTCAATTAGCACAAGGGCTTGCACCATGGAACTTCCTTTCCTTCTCGTCTCCCCACACACCCGCCCCATAGCTGGTGTAAGAAAAAAATAATGTGCATATTAATCTAGGTCAGTGTTTCTCAAACTTGAATCTCCAGCTGTTTTTGGACTACAACTCCCATAATTCCTAGTTAGCAAGACCAGTGGTCAGGGATGATGAGAATTGTAGCCTAAAGGCAGCTGGAGACTCAAGTTTGGGAAACACTGATATAGGTGATGGATAATTTTATGGTTAAGGGGAAATCAAGAGGGTTCAAGATTATGGGGACATGGAATCATGACATTAGCATCAAGTTTCAGCTAAAAGCAAATAGGAATTTAGGACAAAAGCAGAAGTATACCAAGGAACACGCAAAACATTTTTCTAACATTCCAGTTGTATAAACTGATGAACACAGGATTTCAATAGCTAATATGCTTACATTACAGATTTCAGCAATAAACTGCTTAGCTAAGGCGTTCTAGCGTGATGACTATCTCAGAGAGAATAGTGGAACGAGGCCAGATCATGTGTATTACAAGACAGGATGAAGTCATGTTCTTGCCCAGGACTGTAATAAGCAATGAACTGTGTTGAGGAGACGAATGGCAGGTTTGGGAACCAATCAAGGGAGAGACACCCTGAGTTGGATGGAAATAGGGCAAGGCTTTGGTCAGATAGATGCAAGTAATATCTGAAATGGAGGAACTAAATAAGCAAGAAGGACTTGGCCTCAGACATGCGAGAACATTTGAATTGTACTTTATATTCCATTACAGTTTTAGCTTAACAAATCTTTAAAATCATTTGAGCTTGTCCAACCCATCACTGCTTAGTTCAGAAGGTTAAAGGTAAAGGTAAAGGTACCCCTGCCCGTACGGGCCAGTTTTGACAGACTCTAGGGTTGTGTGCTCATCTCACTCTAGAGGCCGGGAGCCAGTGCTGTCCGCAGACACTTCCGGGTCACGTGGCCAGGGTGACAAGCTGCATCTGGCGAGCTAGCGCAGCACACGGAACGCCATTTACCTTCCCGCTGGTAAGCGGGCCCTATTTATCTACTTGCACCCGGGGGTGCTTTCGAACTGCTAGGTTGGCAGGCGCTGGGACCGAACGACGGGAGCGCACCCCGCCGCGGGGATTCGAACCGCCGACCATGCGATCGGCAAGTCCTAGGCGCTGAGGTTTTACCCACAGCGCCACCCGCGTCCCTATTCAGAAGGTTAGGAGACTCCAATTAGTTCCAGGTTTGTATCTTTTAAGGAGAGTAGCAGGATCCCTGTGGGAGCATGTTGGGGGTCACATTCTAAAATATCTAATAAAGAAAAATTCCTATAAGGGTTGGGGAAACCCCAGAATAGATGTAGGGGGTGTGCAGAGAAATCATAGAATTGTTGAGTTGGAAGGGAGAGAGAGGTGAAGTTCCATTTTGCTACTAGAAGATGGAGATACCATTAGGGACTGAACCTTGGACATCCTACATGCAAAGCAGGTGCTCTGATTGGTCCTAGAACAATAGGATTCAGAATGCAGCAGTCTGATTGGTCCTAGAACAATAGGATTCAGAATGCAGCAGTCTGATTGGTCCTAGAACAATAGGGTCCAGAATGCAGCAGTCTGATTGGTCCACAGGAACCACCCAATCCAGCTCCAGGTGGAAGTGAATCCACAACCTGATTGGCCTACAGGTGAATCCCGGAATTAACCAATCATTTGGGGCCCATTGTGTAAATAATGTATATAAAGCAGACATTCTGGGGGAACTTCCATTCCTCCTCACCACTATGAGCTGAATAAAGAGCATGAAATCCACTCTCGACACTCGAGTATATCTCAGCTTTATAAATGATAATATTATCAAGATATTAGAGGAATGAATTGGAAACAAGCTGTTGCAGCGAAAGGCTTCCTTGCACCTCCCCACTCTCTTTGTTGCAGTGCCAGGAACTTCAGCTAGAGAGAGAGGTTCATCATACTTTTCAAATAAAAAGAACATTATGACAAAAGACTATAAAAACAAATGAAGCCTTTCTCCTAGATCGGTTCTCAAATTTTCTCTAAAGTACTTATCTTTCCTCTTGGCAGGGAATATTAATTATATTAGTGTTATCAATCAGAAAACATCATTAAAGGAGTTACGGCTGAATGTGCAGTTTAATAGTCCCCAGCTAATTCCCTCAAAACTCTTACCTTGCTTAAACAAAAGTCCCTCTAGGTTTACATACGAAAAGTCAGTTTGGGGAAATAACTGCGTTCCGATCAGTTCATTTTTCTTTGCCATAAACCCTCAGATGGCGCAACATTTATTTATAATGAACTTTGTTTTTAAAAGCTGACAAAATTATGTGCAGAGGTGGGAGCCATAAAAAAGTCGCCCACATCAGACTACTGCCCCAAATAAGGCTTGTCACTTGCTACATAACTACACGTAGGGGTCAGATTCTGGATGCACAGGGTCAGATTCAGCTACAGCGCAAGGACTCCCACCAGCCCAGTGGGGCTTTCCTGCCTCTCCTCCCCACACAGGCCCCCCAAAATCTGCTCTGGAGGGGACACAGAGAAGGAAGGTTGTTCAGTTGCAAGCACCAATTCTTGTGCTGATGAAACAATCTCTTTAGTGCTACACTGAATTCCACTCAGAGCTCGCGAACAAGGCAGCAACGTTTAGCTGATGAATTGGTTCCATTAATCAGTTAAAACCCTATTAATCAATTTTAAAAGATCTCTCAACTCCGGTTTCTTTTTTTCTTTCTTTTTTTAAAAAAGTATTGTTAGAGATTCAGGGCAAACCCTAGAAATGAACAAACTCCAGGGTTTGGATTCATTGGGGAATGGATTAAAACATGAACTGCAGGGAATTCCTGGGCTGCCTTATGCAAACCAGCCTGGCTGGCTTAGGGAAGAGCGGACCTGTTAGCATTACAGTAGAAAGCCACAAAGGTAACTTCTTGCCCAGGTGTGACCAGAGACTGGAGATTTGGAAGGCTGCCAGGCCAACTGCTCTGGGAGAGGGCAAGGGTCTTCTGGTGTTATAAGAATGTTAAGGTCTCAAATATAGAATAAATATTCATAAATGTACACATATCTAAATATATGAACCATGTGTCTGAAATAGTATGGGAGAGCAATCCTGAAGCCATTTTGACTCTCCCAATGACCTCAGATATTCCTCTGCAGTAAGGGAGGCAAATGGAGAAAGCTTTGCCATTGTCTGTTTGCTTGCAAATCCTGTTTTAAGGGCCTATTTGTGTATGAATAGGGTGAGCCTGTGACCTGGATTCAGGAACTAACCTATTAACCATCACAAAAGAATGGCCAGGCTGCTCAGGTAATGCAATCAGTGACCATTATCGGGTATCCTGGCAGAAAGGATTTCTGCTGTAGACCGCCTCCTTCTGTGATGTATGTATGATTTTTTTTTGGGGGGGGGGGTCTTCAGCTACAGGTTGGGCAATTTCAAGAGTCTATATATGGGCTTGCGCGCCATTGTCCCTCCTGCGTGTGGTGAGTGGGGACCCTGTTGCATTCAGTTTATTTTCCTTTAATAAAGATCAGGCTTACTAGCCGCTTTGCTTCCCAAATGTACTCTGGTTGGCCCTTGTTATTTCCTCCAACCAATAGTGAACCGTCAAAGCCTCTATACGGGCTCTGGAATACCCCATAAGGGAAAGGGAGCAGTTTTTTCTTATAACACTGGGAAGAAGAAGGGGGGGAGATTTCTCTTGGCAAGGGAGCAGGAAGGGCTGCCTGCAATGCTTTGGGCCGTGCTGTAAGATCTGGACTCCCTCCATGCAGACTGAGGGTGTAAATAGGTGAATAAACCCTATTTCTTAAAGCTATTGCTGTCTCCAATGTGTCTTCTATTTTCCAAAGGGACACAGACCCTGTGTAGGCACCTGAGACCCCATGCACTCTTGCCACGGCTTTTGTAACCGTATTTTCAATATGAGCTCTCACAACAAACACGGCAGGCAGGAGTCATCTTAGGAGAGGCACTCCCATACCTTCCAACATTTCTCCAACGAAAATAGGGATGTCCTATCCCATAATAACAAGAAGAAGAAGAACATTTATACCCCAGCCATATGACTGGGTTGCCCCAGCCACTTTGGGCAGCTTCCAACATATCTAAAAACATAATAATACATTAAACATTTTTTTAAAAACCCACTCCCTATACAGGGCTGCTTTCAGATGGCTCGGCTGTTGCATAACTCCATACCCTCCAACATTTGTCTGATGAAAATAGGGATGTCCTAAGGAAAAGCGGGACATTCCAGGATCAAATTGGAAACCAGAATGGCTTGTGTAAATCTGGGATGTCCCTGGAAAATAGGGGCACTTGGGAGTGTCTGCATTCCTGCTTTTCACACAGAAAGGGATGCTTCTTCTAAGATGATGTCTTGACTGACAGAATTGATGCTGTATAGTAGATACAACTTTAAACACATTTTACTTACCAAGCAAAACTAAATTGTATTTATTTAACCAAAATACCTTTCTGAATTCTCAAGTCATGTTACAACTTTTTAGCACCTCTCATTTTTGGAATTTGGAAAAAGTTTGACACGCCCGTCTAGAGCAGAACAGGAAAACTGGAATAGGATGAAAGGAAGTAACTTGAAAAGGGCACACTGCAGCGTTTTGTGGCAAGAAGGCCTGTTCGTTCTATTA